TTCAAGCAGAGTGTTTGTACCGTCTGGGGCAACTGATAGAACTCCTGCGAAATTTGAGCAAGCGCTTCATAGAGTGGTCTGCCGCCCAGCGACCTCGCTGTTTCACCTCCGCCAGTGGCCGTAGATTCAAACAACGATCGTGGCTTGGACCCGAATGGCGGAGTTGGTACAGAACAGCGTGATCTGCTGGCAGGCCCATTGTCTTGAGCGCCCACTTCCAATCTTTTAGCAGCTGTTCGTAGCCGAGGTCCACCTTTGACTGTTGGTCCCTGATGGCTGGATGCATCCGCAGGGAAAAATGCTTGGTTCCCGGCATCGGAGGCACTAGGTCGGTCTTCTGCAAGTCCATTGCTTCTCCTGGGCGAAGATACGCGGTGAACATCAGCAGGATGGCCAACGCGGCCCCTTGTCTCTTTCCTCGGATGAACTCGACCACAAGGCCGGCAACCAGCGGCCATGGGATTGGAAGACGAGTCCTCTGAGGCTCTGTCTTCAACCGTCTGGTTCTCGGAATCTTGTCCTTTGCGGCGAAGGCAGGATTGGCGTCTGCGATGGCCGCCAGAGTCTTTGACCCGTCCTGGTAGTCAAAGCCTTGTTCGACTTGTTCGAACATGTGATTCGCAAACCTGCAGCAAACCTCGTCGAATTTGCTCGGTTGGTCCAAACGCCGCCTCATTCTTCTTGCAAAACTCTTCAGCTCCAGAATCCTCTGGGAGTAGTCCAAAGCTACGGGTTTTGAAACTGCCAACACTGCACAACTTCAAAACATGCGCACACCATCGAGCCTCCTTCGCTGCTGAGGGCCACAGCTTTTGTCTACGATGGTAGCTGTTGTAAGTAGCATGACCCGTAGCTCCCGTCTCAACAAATGGATGGCGTGACCAAGAAGTCTCTCTAAAGCTCTCCCCTCAATCTTGGGCCTGCAAGAAAGCCAGTTGAAGGCCTTCATGATGCGATCCCACCTGTCAGCTATGGGATGAATGACTCCACGTTCTCCATCAATCATGAAGCCCAAGGACTGTGCTGCGCTGCATGCATCTGTTTCCTCATGAACTCTGAACCCCAAATCTCGCAGCCTGCCAACGATCACATCCTTGACTGCTTGCACCTGCACGCGGTCGGTGCCGGCCACGTTGAGGTTGTCTGCATACGGTAAAATGATTGGTGTTCCACAACCCTCCACCAGGACTCTCTCAACAGGCAATCCAGATGCTTCCATCGCAACACGCTGATGAACCGATTGTGAAATCCACATAGCCCATGACCATCCCATGGACAGCCTTCAAACAAGGAAACACCCTGCCTTCCATATCCGCTTGCAGCCCATAGATGCGACCACCAGCCAACTCCTGGAGTCCTGGAGCTGGTGAGCGGACACCCCAGGCATACAGAATAACTCTTGGAGTGAAGCGGGAAGTTGAAGACTGTAGAAATAATCCTTGATATCCGACTGGGCCACGTAGAGGGTGTCTTCCTTCTTCACACTGACTTGCGCCCACGTTGAACCCGCTGCAAGTGCAAGAGGTGGGGGAGGCCGAAACCTTCGATTCAACCCCCGACAGTCAAGCACCATACGCAACTTTCCATTCTTCTTGATCACAAAAAATGGGGAAATGAGGTCCTTGTGTTTATTTGTGAAACCAATCAAGTTCTTGTCGTGGAGGTCCAGAATGAACTGCAAATATAACTGTGGATCAGCTTGTAACCTCGCATCCATGTAAGGTCTAAACCCCGCATTCTGCTCAGCTACTCGCCCCCACTCGTCCTCATCCAACATCCTACTCTCCACTGCCCGTTCCACAACGTCACGAGACCTCGAGGATCCAATACCTCCGGCAGTGCCACAAGATGTGACCCAACTTCTGGCAAGGGCACGAGGTCTCGGTCATACGGGCGCACCGTGCTAGCATCCAGGCTCTCATCATAGGAAGACTTAGAAAGCAGAAGCTCTTGAGCAGCCTCACGCTCTCTGTAGATGAACTGGATGGTTTTGGAAAACGTCCCACCTTCTGACAAATCTTATGTTGACAACTGGATTGCGCAGCCGTGTGAAACGATACCTCAAAAGCTTGTTGTGGCTCTCCCGCACCTTGGCACGTCGCCTCCGTGAAGAGATCGAAGCACCTGGAGTCTGGGCAGGCACGAAAGCACGAGGCACGGGAAAAATCTCCCTCCATCGACCCGAACCGCCGTCTTGAGAAGTCCGGCCTCGTTCATCAAAAATTTGACCAGTCATAGGTCCAGCAGTCATAGCAACCATGCGGCCCTCCCTGCTGAAAATACTGTTTGTCGCCGCCTCCCCCAGCGCCCTTCTTGTCTGGGTTACGGCGGCGAACTTGTTGCTCTTCTCGAGCCTTTCTGGACTCCTTGGCTATTGCAGCCTCATTCTTCAACTCCGTCGCGACGAATGAAGCCAGGCCTGAATCTATACCATGAGCTTGCTTCTTGTAGCGCCAACCCATCATGTGATCAGCCGTTGAATAATCGGGTGCACTAGGGCTGATGCGGTGGGCTTCTCGGATCACCTGCATTCGACGAACAATCAACTCACAAGACTGCAAGCCACTGGGGTTGAGCTGATCAACACAAATCATGGCCTCAAAGATCCTGCTCAAGCATTCATGTTCACAGGTGCTCCTGTCACCACGTGGAATATCGGCTGTCCTCAACCAAAACTCATGGTATGTGGGTGGTGTCATGTTCTGCTCCCGGAAGGCCTTCGCAATGTTGAGGGCGGTTGGAGGTCCCTCCAACTGCAAACTTCCACCCATGGGGGTACCCTCAACCATCAGGGGTACAGCAGCATGGAATTCTCTACGTCGCATCCCTTGCAGGTGCTGAGCGAAACAACCTGTTGGTCCTCCACACAAATCTGCTAGCAATGCTTTGTCTCCCATCTGCAGACACCCAGGTGGAAGTGGATCATCACCTCGCTTTCGCCCTCCAGCATGCCACCCACACATAAACTCCTGCAGCTGGTGCCCTGGCCCCGGCCGGGATTGGAGCCACTGGGGCTGGAGCAGCCGGCGCAGCAGCCCCAAACACGCCTTGTAGAGCAGGAGGAGCGGGTGGTACTGGGGGAGCGGCTGGAGGATGAACTATTGGAGCAGCAGGAGCCCCTGGTGCAGGCAGTCCCCGAGTCATGAAGTTGCCTCCAACTGTGCCTGCGCCATCTGTTGTGCCACTCACCTGGATCAAGCCTTCCAAAACCGTAAACGGTCCCTGCTGGAATCCTGGCTGGGATTGCCCCTGACGGACCAAGGAACTCAAAGTCAGTGAAGTCTCCGTTCAGCATGTCCAACTGTTCCTCATACCGGTCCAAGTCGGGGGTCAATATGATCCAATTGTTTGCTGACACATTTGATAGCAAAAGTCTTGCATGCCAAACTGTCGGGACCTCCCCGTAGTTCACCAATGCCAAGTGCCCGGGCTGCATACCTAGCCTTGCAAGCTAAGTTTTCCGGTTTGCCCGAACACTCCTTTCTCCCCCCTCGTAGGTGATGAACCACTGGAAACCTCCAATCTCTGTGAAATCAACAGCCCACCAAAAATACTGCAACCAACAACTCCAATGATGCGCAATGCACTGACAATGCACAAAGTACCAAAGGAAAATGCCGATTCGCAAGTACAATGGCAGCCGCAATGACACACAGGCTGTTGGGGTTCCCTAGTGAGATGTGATCTCAACTCCCAGCCCCCAACAAAAGAGCACACGATCGAAACCACGGTCACCACCGACAGCTGACCATCCATGGCAGCCCTTCCCTTCGAACTTGAGCAACATTTGTTGCGGCCACACGTCTACATTCACACATTCTGGTCTAAAGACTCTCCATATAATGTGCTGTGCAAATGCTGACCGGCCAGAAACAGTCCTTAGAAAGGTGTTGGTCAGTTGTGATGTGTCAAAAGTATAACATGGAAACTGACCTGACCTGAACTGAGCTGAACTCGTACACCGTAAATGATCGTTCAAAGTAGTGCCCGCGGGCTAAGAATGCGTAATAAGACTGCAGCAAGTTTCTACCCATGCTGGATGCCACACTGCTTTTGCCAACCAAGGCATCACAACGCTGTTATCTGGTCATGCTGTCTTGGTTGGCCACAGACACTCTCTTTGTACACGACTCTGCACTCTGGATCCCAAAGCTCATGTGCCACGCAACCATTGAGAGGCCAACCCCAACCCCAGTTCCCATAGAGAGAGCATTCCCAAGCACTCCCCGTTGCACGCTGAGCTTGAACTACAATTTGGGTGTGATAGTCCAGCCTGTCCCAACGTAGGGGCAGGCTGGTGCTATTCATGGCTCGAATTTCCTCTGGTGTGAGATTCCAACACTCCAGTATACAGCACAAACTTCACTTTTACGAATTTTACGACAAACATCTGTAGCACAACAAACAAGAAGAAGTTGCAAACAAACAACATCGAACAGCCATTGCAGATTCGATCAGGATTGCAACCCAGCCCTTGCTGAAGAAGGTGCATTCCTGAGAGCAAATCTTGGAGCAATGAACACGAATTGCCTCATTAAAATCCTTCCAATCTTTCCCCTCGTCTCCAAATGAATGGAGCTCATGACTCATCATGACTCATGGTACCAGTGACGGCCACACTGAGACTCAGAGCCCAAAAGTCCCTGGTAGTCCTCCACGGGACATGCCTGGAGCCTTTCGGAAGCCCAAAGAGCCCAGCATGAACTAAGCATGTCACATAGTAAGTCCAATGAGACATCGCATCGTCACAGAACCAAGATAAATGTGACTCAGAGTTCAACCTTCAATTTCAATCACATTCGACTAGATTCGATTTACTGAGACTGCCATGAACACGTGGACCAAGTGAGGTCGACATGTCTCGTTGGCACAGATTCGGTGTTCGAACCCCAAGTTCATTTCGAAGTCAACACGTGTTGATGAGTGAATTTCGTGCTTCTGTGGGATCCATCCGTTCAACACAGAAATGAGCTTGGGAATTCTTCAACGGGTTCAAACATTCAGTTCCACTTCCATGATGGCAGATCATCATCCGAGGCCTCTTGGAGATCAGCCCAGTTCACCTTGGGTTTTGCTGTAGGTGGCTTCGGCTGCACCATCTGGGCGTTTTCCAACTCCTCCTGGCTATCGAGCTGTAATGTAAGCAAAGGATCCAATGACTCGCAGTGATGGTGCCCAAGAGGCCCAAAGCATCAAATTGCGTACGAAAAACATTTGACAGCTACTATATAGATTTGGATTGAATCAACTCTGGACCCAATCCTTCCCCGGTTTTCTGGTTGGTCACTTCCATGTTGCCCAACAACACCCTGCCACCCTGCGCCTCCTCAGCCAGATCAGCCCAGGAAGCTTTGGCACTTTTGGGTCGGATGGCCACTGGCATTCGAGACTCAAAGCAGCTTTCAACCGGCGAGTCCGACGAGGTCTGACAGGACGGACCATCAGAGTCGTCGGAGCCTGAGGGACCATCAGGCAGGGGGACCGGGACACGGCGAGATTTGGTTTGTCCAGGTTAAAGTCCATGCTCCTTCATCCTTCCTCCTATTCCAAAGTCCAAAGAGGCCCTTTGTCAGGTGACACAAGGTAGATGGATCATATCATGCGCTCTCGGTGAGAAACCTGTTCCAACTGTTCAAGAAAATATGTTCCCAAAAAATCAAGACAATCACAGACACATCCACCAAGGTGCAAGTTGAGTCATCATCCCACTCGGGGTCACGCGCTCCACGCGGCCCATAGACCCAATCCGGAAGGCCAAGACATCCAAAAGCCTTCGAGTTCTGAGAACGAGAAATTTGGCCTCAGAGCGCGGTGCACAGAAAACATCCGAAAACCCTTCAACCTGCGTGGGAACACTTGGATCTGGCTCGGGTTTGAACAAATGCACCTTCAATTGCGGGCAAGCCGCTCAAATTGACCACTTGTTTCCCCTCCTGCGGCTCATCGAAAGGAGAGCTCAATACACCTTCATCACCCTCAGACATGGGCCACCAAAAAGGCTGTACATCTTCAGAGCTGCTGGTCTGCTCATGAAGATCCAAGGCGAGCGGTGGTAATAGTGCTGGAGAGACGGGTGTGCGAGGTGTTGGGCAAACCGTCGAAGGGGTGTGAACTTGTTTTTTTTTCCCCGAATCCAAGCAAATGCTGGAGAAATCGGGGATCTTCACCTGTCTGGTGTCCACCAAAGCAGGTGATGTGCACGATGCCATGTTGCCAAGGTAGTTCGGCTTAAAAGGCAAGACAAGAGCGAACAAACGCAGGTTGTGCGACTTGGTCGCACGGGTAGCTGATGGGCCTCTTGAAAAGTGCAGCTTACAAAGCTGCGATTTGTCGGACCTCCAGGTGGCACCCTGTAGCACTCTACCCTTTTTGCGCTGCTGCGCTTGAACCGTGCACTGGAAAGCGACGACAGTTCAGCAAGTCATTGGTGTTCAATGTCTTTCGTGGATGTTCCAACATGTTCCAATTTCAAATGTCTTTCGTGGACGCAATACCGCAAATGTATTTCCGTCCATGTCCACAGTGCGCGCCTACCAGCCAACCCCACGGCCGCTCTCGGTACACCATGCAGTGCCTGCTACCCGAGGCAAACGAGAAAAACCCACCGATCGAATTGGCAGACCAATGTGCGTCTACGAGGCATGTGTCAGTCTTAGAACTTCACATGCTTACAATCTGAAGAAAAAACATGTGAAGAAGCCGTATCATAGTTGCTGTATACCCGCAGCTTTTTGGCGCCAAAGGGTGCACATCCTCTCCAAAGCGTGGGACCCTGCTCTCTTTGACAAGTGCAGGTTGGAATCATTGAGTTGTCCCACCCAAGGGTCTCTATGTACACACCATCATTAAACGATGGTTGGTGGTCACTGCAATGCATTGGCCATCATGAGCAAAATCTCTGCTTCTGCTTTGCTGTAGGTCTTCAGCGAAGGCCTTCCATCGCAGCAATTGATCTCATCTTGCACATTCTCCGGGCCATACACAGAATACAAAAGGCAACGATCCTGGGTCGATGGGAATTGCCACTGAAGCTGAAACCTACGGCACACCAAAAAGCTGTTCTGTTCTTTTGATCGTCCTGGTCGGAGAGATTTGGAACTGCCGCGTGCTTGGTGGAGTAGAGGAATAAAAGCAAGTCACCTGGTTGCAGTATTGCCGCCACTCGTTCGCTCTCCCCAGCGTGCACCTGCCAGCGTCACTCCGTGGAATTTGGTGGTGTTCCCACCCTAGTCTTCTTTGTCAGAAACAAAGAAGCTACTAAGTAACAAAGGGCGTCACTACTAGGAGCAAGGACGCTACTAGTAGCTCCTGGCCTTACTACTAGTAACAAGAAGCTGCAAGTCCGAAGTCCTACCGTGGAGCGTCTCTGAAAAATGCATGAAGGATTCCTGTGTCCCAACACCTTGCGTGTGCAAAAGCTTACGCGGCGCTTGTGCGACTGCTGCTTTAGCTGCTTGCTGTACCTGATGTTCTTCCAACCACACATTTGTTGGAAGTTGAATTTGATGTGCTAGTAAGAAGTCCTGGTATGCATATCTGGGTGCAATTGGGGGATTGCACCCACCTTCTCGGAGGATGCGCATGTCAGCCCATTTTGATTGTAACTGCGCAGCTGTTCTTCACAAACCCTGGAGAAACAGTCCCGATTTCATCACCATTTCACACCAGCTTCGAGCAAGTAGATTTAATGGTTCGGTCATATTTTCATCACCACATTTGGTTGCAACGGCGCGACCGGGGGCCTGTCAAGCAGCGTGGTTTCATTGGATCCATTTGATCAGCGAAGAGAATCTTTGCCCTATAGGGAGCTCTAACTCCTTTCCCCTTGTCTCGATAAAATCTGGAAAGACTTCAACAGCGTGAAAAGCCAATAACAAACAAGGGCGAAGCACGTGCTGAACGCACTCTACACCAAGGGATTGTTTACACCACTTCTTATGCCACCTTACTCAACTGCGGATGTGAATTCTTCTATGGAGTGGCCACTTACGTCCCACTTGCACCTACCTTAGACTCTAGACTCCACTTCCAAATATTCACTGAAGATCCAAACTGCCACAGTACCTGGTTCAGAATCCGCTAGGCTAGCAGCTCTAGCACTACCGAAGCCCCAGAACGGGTGACCTCCAGAAGTCGACCTCGACTGCCGGTGAACGGTGTCGACCTCAGCTCGCACCTTCGGCTCCCGGTGGGAGTCAGCATCCTCATCGATGGCCCCGTGGTGAGTAAATGGCCTTCCAAACATGAAAACTGAAAGCTGAAAAAAAAGGAAATGAAAACCTTCATCTCTTGCAACCACTATTTCATGACTATTCACCCCACCATATAATCAGTGAATCCAGTTGAACTCTCGGTCAAGATGCTGAAGTCGTAGAAAGCCTGCATTCTTGGGGTAGCCTTTGGCCACAGTCACAGCAGTCAGCCTGGGTCTGTCTCAAAGACTTGAGGATGCTCTAGCTTTGCATCAAAAAATATACAAGCTCACCCAGTGCTCCGTCCGTCGTCCGTCCATCTTGAGATGCACCCATTCCTCCCATCTCTGAAATCACAGCGTCAAGCAGCAAGGGCAACTGCCCATCACGGTGCCAATGCTCCGGCCCAGAATTGGGAAAGTTCCAGAAAGCTCCACGGCCGCTGTGCACACATGGAGCTCTGAACCTTGGACCCACATCCTGAGAGTCTCAATAGCCAATGCGTGAGATAGAAAGGAGCAAAAGGTGTCTGCTGAGCATGTGGTCATGTCCCCACAATGTTTTGCTTCCAAGACACAGCTTTTCACAAAGCTCTTTAAGATCCTCTCTCGAGGCCAAAGCTCCAGTCCCAGACTTCAAGGGCATGTCCAGGCGGCCACTAGAGAAGGAAGCCCCTTCCTGCATCCAAAGGCAAATGAACCCAAATGAGGCTTTTTTGTCTCCACAAACATTGACCTACAACACATGGTTTTGGAGGGGTGAAGTTTTCCTGAAAGCGGAAGAGGTTTCCAGCACCCAGACTGGGCTTGGGACGCGCCCACGGAGCCAGCGATGCAAGTCCCAGCTGCTCAGCTTGACTTTTCACTTTCGACAACTCCTCCTCCGCGAGCGCTTGTGCCCGCGCGAGCCCGGCGTCGCTGAAGCAAGGCCCACGAACCAAGGCAAAGCCGCCAGTCCTGCACGGGAACTATCAAGGTGATTTGGGCCTTCAAGGCCATGAACAGCTCAGAAAGGGAGTATGTGAGGTTGTCCAAGACAAGGGCAGGGCGTCCTTATGGCCTCTGCTGCCTGGTCAAGAACCTTTTGAGGTATATGTCCAGGCTTGTCCAGATGAATATCCCACATCTCCGATCTCTCCAAGTCTACTGAGAGTGCCCATCTTCTCTGGGCAAACCGACGACCCAAACACGAGGTTGAAAGCTGCACGAAAGGCAACGCCGGCAGCGCGAAGCAGGTGAGAAGCAATCGTCTCATCGATCTCCACTGATCTCCACAGCTTGGATGTCTGGAACCTTCTTTCCCAAAAAGAGTGGCCAAAAGGTAGCCTCCTGTGCCAAAAGGCTTTTCTCACAACCTACTTTCTGTGAGCCCAAGCTTTCAGAATGTCATATGTCCAGCGCTATGTGCAGCATGATCTGGCCACTGCAACAAGCTGCGAAAAACACTCAAAGCATCAGGAGCTCCTCTGCGGAGCACTTGAGCACTTAAGCATCGGAGCACTTGCAGCCCGCCTGAGGCATACCAGCAGCACAACGCCGAAGCAAACCTCAGAGAACGAGTCCTGCTTCATGCGTACCGTATCGTATCGTCCTGTCACCAAGAGCTTCACCAGCATTCCAATCCACTGGGACAGAGTGGCAAAGAGCATGCCCTGCACCGGGACGCTCCGGTTTGCGGAGTGCGCAATGCTCAGAATCCCTCTTCCTATTGGGAAAGTACTCCCTTTCAACGAAGCCTGCAGGAGCACCACTACCCCAAAGGTAATGCGACGTGACCTGGTGAATGAAAAGACTCCGAAATCGTGAAAGAATATCACAAAACCTAGTCAAGAAAACAAAAAATAACTTCCTTTGGGTGACCCACCGCTGCACATCATAACGGAGGCCACAATGATGCTCCCCCCAGGCCTGCAATGCCTTGGGCATATCAATCTACAAGAATCCATCAAGCTATTGACGATATTTCGATCAATGCCTCCTGTCAAAGTGTCTCTTCTTTTTAGCCCGTTCCTACTTAATTAAGTAGGCGCCTACTTAATTAAGGAAGGGACAGCGCTCCTAGCTACCAGTTAGCTTCTAGGTAGGAAGCAGAATAGCTCACGCTTTGTCAGGAAGCTTCCCCCTGCCTGAGGGCAGAGGGGAACTTCCTTGAAGAAGCGCTCGCACTAATGATTTGGTTCATAGATTATTAGGGAAACTTTATTATCACTCCTATCTGACTGAGCTTGTGACCCAAAGCTCCCAAGACCTGTGATCTGACACAGAAGCTGCGCCCAAACTGGTTCGGCAAACGTATATAACCATATAACTTGCAAGAATCGAGTTTGTACATACTCTGAACTGTCAACTCTTGACAATCTGTGACAAGAATTGCGTCTGTAGTCACAAGACTTAGGTCCAGGCCCAGCAGCAGTGGAGAAATATGGTTGCTCGCGTGCGCAGCAGCAATCTGTCGTTGTCACACTAGTTTCCCAGCCCAAAACGACTTACATGGACTTGTGCTAGCCGCCCAGTAACCCTTGTGTTCCAACAACGACCTACAACTCGGCCAAAATCTATCAAAGCACTCATTCTTTCAGACTGGGCCACCACGGCCTTGCAGAAGCCAAACCGAGACCTAGGTATGAGGACACACTTTAAGCTGGTCAAACGGCTGAACTCGGTGGATGCAAAGAAAAGGCATGTGACTTGTGCGCAGGTCTGGATCCTTAAGTGCATGGCAAGAAAAGTCGCAATGCAGACTCCCGCAATCACGATGCCCCAGTTTCTCACCTCAAACTGTCAAGTTGTGCCAGACCCAAGTTGCCAAAAAGGAAAGAAGCTAAGTCTCTCACGCGGATGCCGACAGCAATGGCAGCAATCTGAGTTAATGTCGCGCTGTTCCAAGTTCGAAAGGGTAGAGCTTGAATTCAACTCCAAACACCCCCAGGACAGGAGGGAAAGCAAGCAAGGACTATCGTGCCGGCCCGGAGGCCTTTCGTTTTGCTTTCGACCCTTTCGAGGTAGTCAGGATTTGAAAAGGCATGAAATCCGTGAGTTTGCCCAAGAAATCTCGGTGAATGATACAGTGACAGTCTTTCTGCTCTGTCTGTACAAAGGGATGGTTGGGATTCTAATACCCAACATTGGGGTGCTCAGAAGTTTGCTATTAACTTTTGGAACACGATGTGCGCTCTAAGGCTCCAGCACAAAGCAAGTGAGGCAGCAAACCTTGAAGATAAACCTGCCACGAATGCACAGTGGATGACCTGTGGATGGACACACCAAAAATGTTTGCACTCCCACAAAAACATGGAAGAAGTACCTTCGTTGGATACCAGCCCTTGCAAAAGAGCACGCACAAATTCCGCTGACCTACCTGACAACTGCAAACGGCCAACACACAGCAAACAGTAAATAATAGTTATGTTCTATATATATATATATGTATGTATGTACCTTTGTTACTAGTTGCTTCTTGTTACTAGTAGTAATGCCCTTGCTACTAGTAGTGATGCCCTTGCTACTAGTAGTAATGCCCTTGTTTCGACCATAAGTATGCTAGAGCACAAAAATCCACATTTCAAGGTATCAGCCGTACCTCGGACTCTTGCTCCTCCCTGCAAGTCAGGTGCACAGTGCATTCAGTCTAAAGCAACAAGGGCTATTGGTGAGAGCAAACTCTTTCAGGTTGCTCTGGGGGTCCTGCCTCTCTGCCTGAAGTGCTGCGGAGTTGACAAATCACTATCTGAGGGAGATCTCAACAAGACCAACGCGAGCAAACACTTTACGCTGAAACTGTCCATTCTCACCAGCCATACGAATGGCCTGTCGCCAAATCTCCAAGGGAAACTGCTCTTTGTCGGGGACAAAGCTGCGGTCTTTCAGCAACGGGATGTCTTTGTCAAACCTTCCCATGCGTATAAACAACAAGCTACTAGGAACAAGTGCATCGCTTCTAGTAACAAGTGCCTTACTAGTAGTAACAAGAAGCTATTAGAAACAATAAGTAAATAGGCCGCTCAAGGTTTGTCCCCCCGATGCACAGAGTTTGTCAACCCACCCAATCAAATGGTGGGCTTCGGCTTCAAGCAACAAGAACATACAAGCACACCTCCTGTGTTGTGCGAAAGCCTGCCTGTCTCGCACCAGATAGTTGGTTGACAACTCTCCGTCGATGCAGGTCACCAAGTAGCTTCCCCAGTTCGGCTTATACTCAATGGTGAAGTCTGCTCTGGGGCGTGAGACCTCAGCAGTCTGCATGGTCATGTCTGGTCCAAAAGACCATTGAAAGCAACCAGAAAAACTCGAAAAAAGGGAAGCGACCAAGGTCTCAGGCTCCGGCCGGCCCTGCGGAGCTGCTAGCCTGATGGTATCGATGGTATCTTGAGACTTCAAGCTTCTCCAAGTTGGGTGAGGGATGGTTTGTTTCCTTTAGGGATTTGTTCTCCCAACGTTGTCTGCGGACGTGCGGGTGTTTACGCAGCGGCTAGCGGCTACCAGCTGCAAGTGCCTTTGGTTCCAACCTTGTGCTGTGGACGTTGATAGCGATGGCCTCCACCCTACCTAGCGATGGCCTCCAACCTACTGGCGATGGCCTCCAACCTAGTAGAAAAAGAACATATCTAATAGCGATGGCCTCCCACCTACTGGTGATGGCCTCCAACCTAGTAGAAAAAGAACATAATAGCGCTATGGCCAGAAGGGAGAATGTCATTTGGCATTTCGATTCCAACCAAGCCAGCAAAGCTATCGAAACACCAAGCCAAAAGCCGCCAAGCCACATGACGTGAAAGCAAATCCAAAACACATCCTTCATCCTTCTGATAAACCAACTGCAAAAATTGCCAAGAGCCTCATGCCGAGAGCCTTTCGCAATGAGTGTTCTCGACTCCCGAGCTGCTTCCTCCCTTGTGACTGGTTTCAATCTGAAATACCACCGACCACAGACAAGCCCACAAACCGCCTCCAGTTGGAGGGGAAGTCTAGCCATGGCAAACGTAGACAGCCTGCCAACATCAACCAGGCAGTTTTTGCTCCCAAGAGGCGCACAGTCTCGTTTAACAGTTTACACCGCTCATTCTGCTTGTTGTGTTTTGATATCTTTTGTTTTTTTTGCACAGCACTTGGACTGGGCCGTTCAACTTTGTTCTGAAAATTGGTGTTCCATCCATGTGAAATCAATTCCGAATGCTCACCTGGATGGTCCGGTCAAAGTGAGACTGCCACCCTGGGAAGATTCAGCCTCTGGTGCGCTCATTGGACCAACCTCAAATCTCAAGATCAATCATAGACTTTGCAAGTGGACATGATAATATACATATATATATATAGTTTCATGACCAAAAGAAAGCTCACATCAACAAACACCGTTTAAGTGTTTCAAAAGTCGTCCAAAGTACTTCGCAAAGAACCCACCCATCGTTCGAGGTCCCTTGTCCCCTTGTTGTTCGCTCAGGTTGCAACTCCGACTCCTCCCGCTTCGCTCCCCAAAGGTGACACGAAGTCCGGAGGCCCATCCGGGATGTCCTCACGCCACATGACGCCGTCTGAGCGTGTGGGTGGGTGGTGCTAGGGTATGGGTAAAGACAATCAAACAGAGACATCGCATACCAAGCGACCCAATCCCGCATAGCCGGAGACAACTAGAAACACGGCAGAAAAAAACAGTGCGTTTTTAGTTCTTACGGTTGGACTCGTAAAAAGCTATGCGGGCCGCATGATTCTTAGATCAGGGAGGTATGCGCCACGCCAATGATCTTCGATCTCAAGTCAGATTGAGAGTCGTCAGGTGTGCCTGGCACCCGCATGCGCCAGCTGGTGGCTCAACTTGAAGTCATGACCAAGCACAACCTGAGATTGGAGTCCTGTCAATACACTGGACTGTCGACTCAAGCTCCAGGTGCCTTAGTTCTCCCCGATGTCGTTTCGCACACAATCCTGAACAAGATGCCCTGTAAGGTCATCAACATAAACAGGATGACTGCATGGCTTTCTGCATCCATTGAGTCGCGATGATCCACAAATTCCAGCCTTAGAAGCAGAAGTCAGGCCTCTTGGAGTTTTTCCATCATGTTCGCATCCCCGGCTGCAATCGCGTCAAATCCCATGATCGCCAGAGCCCAAATGGTACGTAAGCAAGGTTCAGTGCTACTGGGCACAAGTCCACTGACACATCTATGGTAATACTCCATGGCAGTGCGCAGCAAAGTGCGAGCTGGTAGATAAACCACACGCCCTCCCTTGGACTTAAGCTCGAACCCTCACCTCTAATGC